ACGGCGAGTTCTTGCCATATGGTCGCCATATGGTACGCTCACTAGGGAGTATTATTTTGAAATTATGCGCCGCAATGCTAAGGACACGTTCAAAAAACAAGGAATTTTGCATCACGATATTGAACCTGCTCACTTGTCATTGCTTGTTCGTAATTTTTTGGTCAATAAACAACACCGTAATCATGTCACAGCCACCGTATTCACCAGATTCGCCCCCATGTGACTTTTTCCTGTTCACAATATTGAAGAGACCTCTCAAGGGACGGTGTTTTGAGACAGAACTGCTTCGACGATTGGAAAAAACGCTGGCACAAGTGTATTATACCTGCGAGGGACTATTTTGAAAGAGAAGAAATAGAAATTGGTGTAAGGAGACGTGAGCATGTATCTCAATACTTAGAACAACTCGGGTGGCTGAACATGTATGCTAGGCGCACACTGCATTCTTCTAGTTTATTCCATAAGTTCATATCCACTGGAAAAGCTGCCTACCTATTCACGAAACTGTCCTTTAGAACCGATATACATAATACAACCTTGATTCGAAAACATTGAATCTCTCCATGGAAGTATCATCCAAAATGTAGATGGATTGGATCACGGCTAGTATAAGGACTCAATCTGTTTATGCTATGGCTTGTAGTAATTAGGACTTTAACACCTGAAAACTTTTTTACTTAGAAGTTGGTAAAGGCACAGTGTATAGTCTTCTTCAAAGTATACTGATATAAATTTTTTATCGAACATTGTCTTTATCCTAACAGTAGTGAAATACAGCTTTGTCAGTCGAAGTCTTTCCTTCAGATCCATATTCTGGGTGCACCTTTTCAGTTTCTTCATCAAGTGGTAAGTTTTATCTCTCGACATGTTATGCAAGCAGCATATGCCAATAAAAATAGAAATATAAGATCATCTGTTTAAAATCTGTTTTTCCGTTAATCAGCTGTCGCCCACATATGAACGAAAACTCTCAGAAGTTGAGAAACTTGTGCGAGCTAAGGACTAACGGGGTCTTACCTTTTAACGATTCCTAACAAGATTGTTTCACTTCCTTCGATTTTTAAAGGAAACCATGAAGAAACAATTATTAACCATCACATTGATGAAGGAATGAGTTGAAGTTCCCGGACGTGAAAATAGGAAGGTCCAACAACAAGTGGCAAATATTTTATCGAAAACCAACACACGGAGCTGTACTGAATTTTGAAGGAAATTTTCATCAGTCTACGAAGAGCGAAATTATTAACACTCTGGTTAAATGAGTATTTATTTAGCATGTGTATAACACCGAAAGCCTCACAGAGATACTGGATACTACCTCAAAAGGAATTTCCTGTAGAATGAATATTTTAAACACTTGTAGAATAACTTTTGGCTAGAATCCTACAGAAGACCGACAAAAAGGAGTACAACCGGTGCTGTATCTTTCTCACATAAAACGACTTGTGTCCCCGTGGGTTGGGCTACCTAACGGGCGCGTCCCCAGGTGGCGGATTGGGGAACGGCCAGGGGACATGAGGCCCTGCCTGGGAAGCCAATGTGGCCTTATGGACGTGGTCGCTGGTTTCCTAGTCAGTGGCAGAAATAAGTAGGGTGAGAGGAACTAAAACCCCCCAAAAGCCTTTGCAAAACATGCCACCGTGGACCAGCCTACCCAAGCTAAGGTGTAAGGAATCGTGCCGTAAGCTGAATGGCCGCAGGGTGATATGCGGTCACGAACGATCCCCTTGGGGAACCGAGCGAAACCTCATTGTAATCAGCCTTCCTCTGGTAATGCGGGGCTCAACCAGAGTGACCAACTCTTCCCTTGCTACTCGTGGGAACACACATGAATGAAACAACACAAAAACAGAAACAACAAAAACAAAAACCAATCCCTAGGCTGGACAGAAGTGCTCACCTCAATCTAAGGCGGTGGCTGGGGATGAACAGAAATGCCCACCCCAATCTACCGCTTGGAATGAGGCTGGACATAGCAGATCACCTCCAACAGCAAGGGCATTTCCTGCGGCGGGCGCCAAGAGCTCCGCCTTGAATAAAGACAAGGAACCGGCTCCCTCTGCAGGAAAGCTCCCTCACTTGTGCACCTCCACGGAGGGAACGCCAAGAAGGTTGAAGAAGCTGCGCAACGAAAGTAATATCGCTGCACCTTCTAAAACCTTCGCGGTGGCCACCGTGAGACACCCCAAGGTTGCCAAAGAGAGTGTGTGTTCGGCGAGTCTCGGCCTACACCTGCCAATATAAAGGAGATGTCTCCTTGTGACCTGTCACCTTCCTGGAAAGGACAGGATGGACGATGACCTAGGAGGATAACTCCTCGGGAGGATGTACATAATTGCTATGAGTCTACACTCACCCTCCTTACTCTACAGATACCAGAAACAGAACGACTTGTGTCGAAATTCAACATAATGACCTGATACAGAATCCACAGCAACTCAACAAAAACTACGAAACGTAACAAGACTTCCAAAATTGAGTGGAGCTACCAGTGAGGTACCGCTTCAATATTTTTACTGCATCAGATTTTTTTGTCTTTTTGGAAGCTTGGGCCACAAATTGTTTGATCCCAAAAGGCTGGTAGTTCTCTCGCACACTTATCAAAGTACAATGAATCTAAAATATCTGAGATATGACCTTCGTGAAGCTATTCGACACATGTTTCAGGTTAGAATGAATTGAAATTTGTACACATATTGATTGAGTCCTCTCGACACTGGATCCAGTATCCTTTGATCGTTGAAATATTTCAGGAATCTCCTAACTCCTTGGTCTTCATCAATACATTTCGGACCATTTCCAAGGCCGGGCTTTACTTTTGTGCTGCTCTAATGTGTTGTGTCGTCTGTATCATCTGATACTCGGGTGATTCATCTGAGTTTCTGTCTGTATCCCTGAAAGACCGACTTCTATAGTCTTCTACCCTCCAAGATAGAGAGAGACAAAATAAAGCTAGGAGTATATTTTTCCTCTCCCAGCGAGTTACCGCTACCGTATTGGTGCTGCTGGAAGTGTGATGAAGCTGTGTATGACTTATGAATAAATGTCCATTGCCGAAAATTGTAAAGAAGTTCATTGAGATTTGACCTCTCGAAGATAGTATTGAAAATATAAAAATAAATGAAACTTTATAATGAATACTAGTTGTAGGTACTTATTTATTTATGCTGTAGTTACATTATTTTTAACACATTTTGAATTCACTTCACTTTGTTACATGATCCACCCCCAGACCAGCAATCGAGTCAACATGTTCGGATTTCAAAGTCACCTGTCAACTAAAAACGACAGTCCGAACGTCATCAAAATGGATGATGACGAAAACCAATTCATCGTCGACGACGTCAGCAAAATCGTTAAAGACACGATAGAAACAGTTCTGAGCGGTACTTCGTATCAGCAAGAGAAGGTAAACCAGTGGAGCGCCACCGTTTCTGAGCAATGCCTCAGCGCCCTGAGCAAGATGAAGAAGCAGTTCAAATACGTTGTGACCTGTTCGATTATGCAGAAAACCGGCGCTGGATTGCACACGGCTAGTTCTTGTTACTGGGATAGTGCCACCGATGGTACTTGTACGGTGAGGTGGGAGAACAAATCATGAAAAACTAGTGAATCAGAGACACACCAAGAGAGTTTTTTGCCATCATTGCCATACTTTAACAATAGAGTGGAACATCTTGGACAACACAAATTTAGAGATCGACCATTCTAAGTTGGCCTTTGAGATGTTAATAATTGTAAGTGTATAGAATAGAGGTTCCTGACACAAGGTGTAGGGCCTGCCGAGAAGCGCCTGAGCCCTGAGACCATAATGCACTTGCTTTCGGCATGGCCAGCATAATGTGGTCTTAGCTTATATCCACTTACGGCACTTTTACGGAATTGACAAGACATTGGTGTTGCCTTATGCTCCGGGGAATATTTGTGGGTAACGAGAAGTGCTGCATTCATTGAAACTATTCGTTCCCCATCCTCAGGCTCATGCAAGCTAATAAGCCTGATGTAGTCTTTCTTGACCACCAGAGCAAAATGATATTTGTCGTGGAATTTTCAGCTCTTGTCCGAAAAGAGGAGGAAAAACGGATAAAGTATCAACATTTTCTCTACGAACTCCGCAGACTCTATACAGACCACTCGGTCTAAATAGTTGTTTTGATATTTCAGTCCTTGGTGGGATGATGCCCTGCCGAATCTCAAAATAATGCGGGCTTGCCGCATTAAGGCAGAAATCTTAGCCAGACAACTGCACAAGGCTGCGATTCTTGGCGCACTACGTTTCATTGGGGGACATGATTCTCGGACCCAATAATCACTTACCCCACGTGCTGAACATATCAGGGTATCGATTTTGTAGCATGACTTTCTTTACACCATTTTATTTATTTCCAAATTTTTTTTTGTTTAATTTTGGAATGTGTTCGTCATTTGCGGAATGAATTTTGTTCGTGTCATCATGGCTTGAAACAGGTTGGTGCCAGACCCCTTACCCTTTTGACTGGTGTTCGTCAGAGAGACAAACGGGTCAAGACTGATTTATGGAATGGCGGCATGAATGTCCTCAGATATCAGTACCGCCATTCACGTGAACCTGTAGCTGGCTGGGGTGTTTGGATGAAGATATTGTTCATTTTTTAACGGGGGACATTAGGGCCTCACTCGACAGAGTGTCGGGGCCTTCTGTATCAGAAGGGGTCATCTACAGCATAATCCATAGCTTCCCTAAGTAACGAAATATATTATAAGTACCATGTCTGCCATATATTCATACCACTAGCGACATCTCTTAGATGTGGGCGTTATCAATACGTCGTTAGTATATAGTAACCTTTATTCGTTTGGTGTACACTCTATGTTCAGTCAGTCGTACCTTTGTATACAGACTATCTACAAAGGTAGTACCTTCAAATTCAGATCAGAAAAAATAATGTTTCCCAGGGGAATTCAAATAGTCGTTAGTTCCGATTGGTTACTAAAGAAATATCTGAAAGGGTAGATATTTCCTAGATAACGGGAAGAAAGACAAAAGGATTCACACGACCAGCCTGGAAAAGATATGACACGTCATTAAACTAGTCCTCGTTTTGGAAAAGAAGAACTAGCCCATTTTATTTCGAATAAATCCTTCATGTGAAATTCCGGATGTCTCTAGAGTAAATCATATCGATGGTCCATGCCCATAACGGCTACTAAATCCTAACTTTCGAGTATCTGAACTCAATATGGCCGATTCATGCATCAACTTTTTATTTTATCTGTTATTTAAAGGAAGTTGTCACAATGTAAATCAATGAGATCGCTCATACACCACCCTTATGCTATGGCTTGACAGATCACTTTTGTGTATGGCTTACCAGTTTCCTGAAGGAACGCTCTCTGCAAGTGGAGCAAGTGCAAGTGGCCGTCGATGAATATCTCTTTTACCATCAATGCTGGTGATCCCCAGGGATCCATATTGTCTCCATCTCTCTTTTTATTGTATATCATAATGAGGATCTAGAAGTGATTTCGAATTGGGGTGAAACTAACCAAGTTCAATTTAATGCCACAAAAACCCTGGCATCGGTTTTCTCCAAAAAGATAAATGTCTTCGAACCGGATATAATAGCAGAACAGACAATTCCGCTTTCTGCTTCGATAAGTTTGTTGTGGGTTGAAACGGACGCCAATATGTCTTGGCACAATCATGTCGTTAGAATTGCAAAGGCTGTTTCTCAAAAACTTGGAACACTTTTCCGAACCAGAAAACTCAGCAACTTTTGATGCTTCATAAAGCTCAGATCAGACCATCTTTGGAGTATTGTCTCATGTATGGACCTCCGCCCGTAAGCATATCCTGAAGCTACTGGATTCCATCCAGAAAAGAGCAACCCGCCTGATTGGAGACGCAAACATCACGTGCAACCCTGATAGCCTGGAACATCGAAGAAAGATTGGAGATTTATCTCTCTTCTATAGGTACTCTTACGGAAAGTGTTCAAGTGACTTGACACATTTGATTCCATCTAGAGCAGTACACTGTTTAAGAACTCTTTACTTTGGAGAACTGCGTTCATGTGGAATTATCTTTCTGAGAACGTTTTTCCAAATGGATTTACTCTCCAGCAATTCAAATCCAATGAGAATCGCTACTTTTGCACAGGTACCGCTCTTAGAGTCCCGTAAGGATTTTCCTGTAGTGCTTGGTAGGTAAGTAGACGGTAGGTTCGACGTAGGTGCTTTGTTCACACTCAATCGACCGATGTGTGAGTCGGTGGTTCAAGCCGCAGGCCAGACGATTTTCACTTGCTATTGTCCAACCCGTGTTAGGATTCACACGTTAAAAGGTAAGACCTAGTTAGTGTTCAGCTCGCACAAGTTTCAACTTCTGAGGGTTGTCGTTCGTAGGGGTGCGACAGCTGGTTACCAGAAAAAACATATATATTTTCATAAACATTTCCGTAAAAAAAGAGGTGGTGTATGAATGCTTCCATTTAATAATATTGTGACAACTTTTTCAAAGTTAAAGTAAAATATAAAGAAAAGGTAAGTGTTTTCATTGTCGTAATTAATTTTGTATGTACACCGTTCATAGAAGGTAAGATTATATCATGTTAACTGGTAAATAGTTATTAATTACCGTAAAATACCGTTATTCGATTTTTTCTTTTTTTACGATCCCGAAATTGTGTACAGAAGTCGTAGGACATTCATGAAGAATTGTAATTTTTCCCTCTGGATGAAGGAAAACTGAATTTTTCAAAATTNGTTCCATGTTAGCTTCTTGTCGAGGATAATACCAAGGTATTTCACCTCTTCAGAGAAGTTTAGTTGGCTTTTGAAGATTTCGGGAGGTTTTAAGCCCGTTAAACTTCTTTTCCTGGTGAAAAGGACCATCTCAGTCTTCTTGGGATTGATCGACAGTGAGTGTTCCTTACACCATGTTTCTATCAATTTGAGCCCATCCTGCGCTCTATCGCACAGTGTGTTTACAAATTTGCCGGTCTGCAAGATAACTATGTCATCTGCGTATGCAATTGTGTAGAATCCATTTTTGTTAAGGTGATTAATTAGGGTATCCTGCTTTTACTAAAGAAAGTTTAATTTTCCGTTGATATTCCACAGTGCTGCACACATTATTGCTGTATACATTCAGACTTGCCATTTCAAATTTTTAAACGACTTTAATACATTTTACACTAATTTTAACATAGAAATTATAATTTATACATTTTTTAACAATATATTTGCAGCACAATGTTTGTTTTATTAATTGTTTATAGATCTTCAGCGTAGCTGAACATATATTCAATACATACTATTTTAGTATTCGATTTCACAACGGTCAAATACAATTTTCTTAAATTTTAGTTGTGAGCCCATAGTGCTTGCTCGCCGTTAAAGAGTTGCCGTTCGCTGTATTTTTTACATAAAATATTGGGCTGCAATTTCAAAAGTATTCTACATGGTTGATTCATGCAACGTAGTTTGCTTGATTTTTCAATTAATGGACCCAGCTTCCTATCGATGCCATTATGAACAGTACTTCTCTTAATGAAATGAAAACTTATCCGGGTAGCACATTGCTTTACGCAAAACTGTACTCCTTTTGTCGTCTTCATTTCACTACTTTTACATTCAATTTATTGCTTTCTTCTATAACTTCCATACGCTTTCTCTTGGCACTGACAGATTCTTCAAATCCGTTGACATCCGGCCTGGATACCGGCTTAGCGAGCCTTCAGCCCTCCTAATTCCTTCTTTTTCATTCGAACTTATTTAATTTATTCATACGTTTATACATGATCTCACATGATTTGACACCGTGACTCTCAGCTGAATGTAAAATTTTTGTAATACAAACACATTAAATCGGAATCACTAAAGGATTTTTACCGATGATGGCGCTGCTTGAACGGTAAATTACGAAATAACGGAATTTGAAACATAGGTTTTGTTTATTGGGATTTGCAGTGATTTGAGTTGTTCAATTTGAATTTTTGGGAGCAAAGTTTTTTGGTTGAATTATTATAGACAAGAGAAACTGATGAATAGTTCAAATATATTAATTTTTGCAACGGAAAGCACAAGAAAACGAAACGATTTGTGAAAACTGCGACAGACATCTTATTCCCTATTAAGGAATTTCTCATTCAAGTTTTGTATATACTTATACAATTATAATAAACAGCGTTACTAGGTGGCTTACATTTTTGTTCAATGGCTAATCCGGTACTGCTTCTGATTATAACAAAATGATGGTGCTTACCTGTAGCTCAGGACTGCTGTCAAAATTATATGCGGACGGGCGGCCTTCCAGGGTACCGAAGGCGATGTTACCGTCTTTCAACGGCGAGATGTCTGAATATTCGGAAGTACAAAGGGCTCTGGTTTCCTCGCCTCTGGTCGTGTGGGTCATGTCAGGTAGGCCGTAGGTGTCTCGGCAGGTGGCACTGAAAGAATTGCGATTAAAGGTCAGTGACATAACGGCACCTTTCGAGAATTTAGATTTGCCTTTCAATGGAGATTTTTGTGACTTGCACGCAGACCCCTTATCAGGGCGATATTTCAGACATTTGTGGCTGCTTTAATTCTTTGTGGATTTGACTTTCTGCATGAATGATCAAATAAAAATTATACGTAATTCACACAAGTGCTTTAATTGAAATGTAAACAACTGTTGCTTATAGTGTAGTCACCAAGGCTTATAGATCATAAAAACCACATATTTCAAAACAGAACAGACAGTATTTTTTATGGTAATTGTCAAAAATGTTGATGTGCCAATATTAATAACATCAATAATTGTGTCTTGAATTTATGAATGTTTAAAAAAGAGTATGACAAGCCTATATCACTTGAATTTCACGACCTTCAACAACTCACATATGGAGGGTTTTATTATTTTTCACTGAATTGTCAACATAACCCTTGGATACTGAAGATGATCTACAACTGCGAAACAATAGTTTTATTAATTCAACGGATAGGAGCAGTTTTGATAATGTTGGAGGAGGCACCGTAAAGAGACTAACTTTCCTATGATGTTTAAGATTATCAAAGTTGCTTGTGATTTAACCAAGTGGGTTTTTGGTTAGAATGTAACAATATTAAGAGCTTTACTTGAGCTTCCTCAGGCCTTCGAAGTTGCTGAGGTAGATCATTTCTACTTTAAAATTGCTGCTTTCGCTCCTGAAACGTGATTGTTTGAAGACATATTGGCAACTATCAAACTAATCGACGCAGGAGTTTCCACCTATGTTACTGCCTACCAAGTCCTAATTAAAATTTAAAACTTTTAGTTAGGGGTAGCTTATATAAATTCACGAGAGCTACCCTCAGCGAGATAATAAAATGGAGTTATGATAATTCCATTGTTCGTTGATGTGCAATAGAAAAATAGAATGTTTGGAGACAATACCAATCCCCAACAATGAAATTTCCTCTTGTGAGGAATGAAGTTTAATTAACAAACCCTCATGTCAAACACCGTCAAAGACATTGGAAGATGTCACTGCCTCTACTTACATTGGAACAATCAAGCGTAACATCAAGACTATTCGTGTGACTTAATTGCATCATACTGAAGATAGGTGACATAATGAAGACCACCTGTCGATCTTCAATATCTCTCACTACTTTACCTAGGAAGCAAAAAAAACTGTCTTTATAGGACATGTCAAAGGTTGCACAAATACTGATGCAAGTTCGTTGGGGAATTTTTAAGTGCGATGATTGTTACTTTTTCAGCACCATAAGCTTTGTTGGTATTCATCTAGTAAGTACGACGACCTTTATTTACCAGGTTGACGTTGCACTGTTTCCAGGTTCGTTTTTTGTGATGCTTTCAACAAGTAATTTACGGCATTTTGGATCAATGAACACAACTAAAATAGTGAGTGAATGGTGTTTTCCCTTGAAAACTGTGGTGATGTTACTGTTATTCTATCTTCAAGTTAGTGACGGAACTGTACACTTGTGAGTAGTTCTTTAAATTCGTATATTTCTGATTTACATTTCTTGCGAGCATTGAATGTTTTAATACAAATGGTGGTATGAAAATTAGACATTTTTAGAGACTAAGTCAGCTTGCTAGAATCTTCAGCTTCAAATGGCTTATATGAGGAGTCAGAATTGGAACAAATACCTAGCAAGAGGAATATTTATTCGTAGTTGGTCTTGAAGATCATCTCATCTAGCCGATCTGCGATACCAAAGTTTGTTCGATTTAGATATCTCTTTGTTCCGAGCATTGACAACCCTGATACGATTTTTGATGCTGACTTTTTTGCGATAGTATCAGGTGACGAAATTTTTAGAAGAAACAGCTTGCTTTTGAGTGAGGGCGATCAACTTTCCCCATAAGTTGAAAGCAAGTTGAAAGCTTGCTTTCAACTTATGTCGAACCAATGTTTTTCGTTATAAGGTCGTTTCCTTGAAAAATTAGAATATGCATCTATATATGTTAGCCTAACATCAAGTCATGTGTGTCATGTGTGGGGTAAGAGATTTGGATAAGTTATGTGTTATCAATTATATTTAAAATAATTGTATCGAGTTGACTTTCATCAGCTTATTTTTATGCATATCGTCTAGAAAGTTGTAGAATTTATTTGCTAAAAAACTGTAACAAAGTTGTCCCACCGATTTTTTTGTTGTCTGTATTCGTACCAACATTTTTGTTTTGTTTCTTGTGATATCACATGCCCTAACTGTTGAAGGGTGTATTTATTTTTATTTATGAAAATTGCTATGTCGTGTAAATATAACTTTCTGACGCTGAGGATAGCTGCATACGTATATTTTTTTTTGGTAAATTATTTTCAAATTTTTTTTCTCTACTATCTCAAATTTTTGAAGATGAGTATTAAGTACACCACCCCAGCTGTAACTGTAACAGCTGTAACTCCCAGATATTGGAATTTTTCTGCTTGTTTGATGGCAATCTGTTTATTGGTTTTTCCCAGTGTGAGTTCCTTGAACTTAGGGAAGTTAGTTCTGTAACTCGAAAAACGTATATAAAAAGTTTTGTCAAAATTTACGGTAAGCAACTTATGGTCAAACCAATTAATAATATTTAACAGATGGTTTTCCATTTTTATTTTCAAACTCTCCCAGGTTTCTGCAGTGTATAGAATGGCAGTGTCATCAGCGAAGCTCACAATTTGACCTGTAGTTTCATGGATGGTGAGTAGACTATTTATTTATAATGAAAAAAGTAGTGACCCTAGTGACCACTGTACGTTGTGGTACTCCATATTTTAGAAATTTCTCTTCGCTGATTCCATTTCCTATTTTTACATACTGTTTGCGGCAACTCAAGTAATCTAAAAATAATTCATTTGCCACATCTCGTATTCCTGAATCTTGCAGGGAGTCCAACAGCTGTTGATGATCCACAGTATCGAAAGCCTTTGCAAGATCCAGGAAAACACATGCGGTTGGTTCACTTTCATCCATCAACTTATATATCTCAGTGGTGATTTTGGAAATCATTGGTCGATAATTTTTCTCTGAACCCGTACTGCAGGAATGATCACGTTATTCTTGATTTTAGCGACTTTTCAAAAACTTTTGTAATTGACGTGATATGTGACGGAATTTGCCTTTAGTATTAAACATGCCTGAAGTTTTGTAAGTTGTTACAAATCTATTTCCCCTTCAAAGATTATAAAGAGTCTGATACATTAAGAATGAAATGAGTTAAATTGTAAAACAAAATGTAGTAACTTCGAACATGTGCGATATTATGGTCATATCTGTCGGCGCTATAGTTTTATATATATGAAACCATAACTCACTGTACAAACTCACCTGTAATATTGAAAAGGAATCCAAGGACCATCTTTGGTGGATTTCTTAGAAATGAAAAAGCTTTCCGGTCTCGGTGAATAAAATATAAGTCTCACATAAGTGATATCGAATGCTTTATCTGTAACACAAAAATATATCCTAAACATTATCAAGAGAACCAAACGGTGAACACGAATATATATTCTTACCAAATTTCAGTGTCAGATTAACTTGATTGGGCCACTGAATCCCCTCCAACATGGTCTCTGACTGCCACCAAGTCGGGTTGTCCGGGTGCATGAAATCGGTAAGGAATCGAGCATCGTGTTGGCCAGGATAACAGATTTCGCAGGACTTTCGAATTCCTGTCACTCCGGTTTGTACACAATATTCCATTTCACCATTTTGTCCGCAGGTGTTAGTTGCCTCCATCAAGACTCCGAAAGCTGCATTTTCGAACTCCGGTATGCACCTCTGGAACAAAATCATGTTCGTTTATGATTATTTCAGCAGTTAACCTGAGGAATAATTTTTATGAAATATATATATATATCAAGTGAAATACCAAGACCCGAGATTCATCAGAAATACGTCACTTTTGCAAAAAGCTAATGTTGGGTTGTTTAAAAAGTTTTATCCGTTTGAATGTCGTTTGTTTTTGTATCTCCCGATCTCATTGAATATGTATTCTACTGTTTCGTGGTATATATTGTTCGATAGAAAATTTTATACTTTAAATCCAGAAGAGGATTTGAAGATCCTTGTGAAGACTAATTCATCACAAACTGTACGTGGGATGATAAAAGAACTTGGGCGTCAGCTCCCATGCGGTTTTTGATAGTGCAAAACATATTGGAAAGGTCAACAAGCTCAAAAAGTGGGTGCCCCTTGATTTGAACGATCGACAGAAATTGTTACGTTTTGGGGTCTATTCTTCTTTGCACAACCAAAACGATACTGTTTTGGATCGGATCGTCCGTGAGTTGAAAAGTGGATCCTCTATGACAACAGGAGATGTTTAAGACAGATGATCAACCCAGGCACTTCCCGAAGGCAAAAATCTATCAAAAAAAGTCCATGGTTTTTGGTGCAACAACTTTCTGCAACAGAGTCCTATTGTGAGGAAATCGACGAACTGTACTGGGAATTGCATCAGCAACAGCCGACACTGGTCAACAGAAGTTCTATTCTGGTCCACGACAACGCCCTGGTTGTGCTTGCACTTCCCTAAATCAGAGGATTATTGGAAAGGATAAGAAGAATTGGTTCCAAGTACAACATCAGCACCTGTTTCAGATTCGGAAACACTAAACGTAGCAGCCTCACTAAAACCAGGCCACCAAACGCGATATATGGAACGCCGTTTTACTTTTTATTGTCACAAATATTAATTCCTCAATTTATTCACCCAACAATTTATTTGTTTGAATTTAATTGAAAGATTTCGCAGGACTTTCGAATTCCTGTCACTCCGGTTTGTACACAATATTCCATTTCACCATTTTGTCCGCAGGTGTTAGTTGCCTCCATCAAGACTCCGAAAGCTGCATTTTCGAACTCCGGTATGCACCTCTGGAACAAAATCATGTTCGTTTATGATTATTTCAGCAGCTAAACTGAGGAATGATTTTTATGAAAGATATGTATATCAAGGTGAAAGACTAAGACCCGAGATTCATCAGAAATTTGCAAAAAGCTAATATTGGGTTGTTTAAAAAGTTTTATCCGTTTAAATGTCATTTGGTTTTGTATCTCCCGATCTCAATGAACATGTATTCTACTGTTTCGTGGTGTATACTGTTCCATAGAGAATTTTATACTTTAGATCCAGAACGAGGATTTGAAGACCTTTGTGAAGACTGATCCAAAACAAACTGTACGTGGGATGACAAAAGAACTTGGGCGTCAGCTCCAATGCGGTTTTTGATGGTTCAAAACATATTGGAAAGGTCAACAAGCTCAAAAAGTAAATACCCCTTGATTTGAACCATCTACAGAAATTGTCACGTTTTGGGGTCTATTCTTCTTAGCACAACGCGATACTGTTTTGGATCGGAAAGTCCATGAGTTGAAAAGTGGATCCTCTACGATAATAGGAAATGTTTAGGACAGATGATCCACCCAGGCACTTCCCGAAGGCAAAAATCTATCAAAAAAATCCATGATTTTTGGTGCAACAACTTTCTGCAACAGAGCCCTATTGTGAGGAAATCAACGAACTGTACTGAGAATTGCATCATCAGCAGCCGGCACTGGTCAACAGCCACGACAACGCCCTGGTTGTGTTTGCACTTCCCTACATCAGCGGATTATTGGAAAGGATAAAAAGAATTGGTTCCAAGTACAATATCAGAACCTGTTTCAGATTCGGAAACACTAAACGTAGCAGCCCACCAAGGCCACCAAACGCGGTCTGCGATTCCAAGAATTGCATTTATCGTATACCCTGTGAGTGCGGAAAATCCTATATTGATGAAACTAAGAGGCCATTAAATGTTCGCATTGCCGAGCACAAGAAACACACACAGCGAGGGGAAACCACCAAATCAGGAATAGCAGAATATGTTTGGACCCATCAACATAACATCGAGTGGTCCCAAGCTGAGATCATACACAGAGAGGAACATTGATTTGGGAGAAAATTCAAATATGTTGTCCAACAACGTATTCAGCTAAGCTAGCGTAGAGATACGCAACATATGGAAACCCATTATCAAGCGAAAAATGGCCAACTTCCGCCAAACGGTCATTTACCACTAAACCAGTGAGGCGAAGAAAGGTAAAGTACTCGAATGACCCATAAATAGTCATCTCTCGGAGGAAACAGTCCAGTCATCACCCGAAGACGATTGTGGATACTAACAATCGAAACGTCGTGAAGTAACTTGGCTTGGAATCTGTCTTGGAACTTTTTATTTTTATTTTTGTTCAATTGTTTTATTTTTACTTGTATTTCATTTCACTTTTATTTCATTTCAGGTTTTTTCCTCAATATTTTTCAATTCTTCTTTTTTAGTTATTTCAGGGATTTCAAATCATTTTAAATAATATCAGGAAGTCCGAACTAATGAAATTCATAATGAAACATTGTCAATCATCTTCAAACAATCCACAAATGTACTGCTGGAACAAACTATACCTAAGTTAGTAGTAGCCATGAAACCTCTTCCTACGGAAACGCCATATGTGGGATCACAACAAACCTAATCCACTAATATCAACATAAACGAGGCTTCCACATCGACCACCGAACAAGATTCGTTCTCTGTTCTTCACTGTAGCTTTCACTGCAGCGCAACTAGATGAAACCAAAGCCCCAAACAGTCTAGCACCATCGATTTCAAAGCTTCGCTTTGCAATGTACCGCCTTTGAAAGCCTCTTTAATCTTCAATATTTCTTTGCTCAATCCCATAGATGGCGATGGCGTCTTCTGGCACGAGACGTTATAAGATACTGTCTATGGCGAAACACGTGTCGCGGTTTTGTAAACTTTCAAGTGAAAATCTCTTAAAGTGCGTTTTTTAAATACGTAATGCGTTATTTACTTAACACAAATGTCAACCGAATAAACTTGGTACACTAGGAATATAACCCTCGAATACTCGAATGAAAGAAGTCAAAAATTTCTTCACAACTATTGCAGATCATGGATTTTTGAAAGAACACCCAAAATAATTTTTATTTAAAGTTATTTAAAGCTATCTTTCAAGAGCTTCAATCAACTATTATTACGAGTAAAGTCATTATACACACATCGGAAAAAGTCAACTTTTTTTTCCCTAAAGCGATCTAAAAAAAAATTATTGCCATTTTTAAAAATATCCCTAGACTTTTCCGATGTGTGTATTATAAGTATATGTTTTTCTTCGAGTTTAACCTATAGAAAAGCATTACTATAGTCGAAGTGAACGATATTGTGAATATTTAAACACATAGAAATGAAACGGCTGCGAAATAGTCCACGTTGACTGCAGAATTGGCGGATCGTATTGGATATTTTTGCTAACCAAGTTTTATGATTGGCGGAAAAGTCATAAAATTAAATTTGAAGTCATGTTACCGTGACGAATAGAAATCGGGAATACGGGGATGGTTATCGCCGTCGTGTTCATTTCAGGAACTGATCGCGATTTGAATGTTGAAATTCGATATTGGTGGAGTCATAATTACTCAAAATGTTTGCTATCTGTTTAAAATGTGGTGTCCTTGGACAAGTACTAATAGTAATAACGAGTGTGATAGCAACGCAGAATTTTTCCAGTGTAGTGATTCCAATAGCGATGGTGAACAATACGAAAAAGAGATACCAGTGAATAAGATTCGGATGCATTTGAATGTTGAAACGCAGAGAGTATGTTTCAATGTGTATAAGAATCTACATCTCAAGTTTGGTTTCGAAGGAAACAAACTATTACAAGCAACATCAGATTTGACCGAAATTCTTTTCTCAATTGTACGTAAAATAGTCAAAAACAAATCTAATGAAGGCGAGACGCAGTGTGATACAGGATTACCAAAACCTTCAGATGTTCATCTAATAAAATCAGTGAAAAAAAACAGTATACGACTGTTACAGAAGCAATGAGATTCCTTCAACTGAAATCATAAGGAAGAAGACAAAACTCTTCAGAATTGGATAAGGAAACTAGGATTTAGATTTAAAATAATGAACAAATGTCAAGCACTTATGGAGAGCAGAAGATAAGTGGAATTGCGTAACAAATACCTATAGTAACCCTACCCTAGTAACTATACCATGTCGCAGTTTCTTCATTCTTTGGAAATAACAAACATTTCATCTCATTAGGCAAACCTTTGTCTTTCTGAAAGTTTCAATAAGTTTGAATAGATCTCGAACCTTATGACAGATTCTCACTGTTAGTTCGATATTTCAGAAAATGTTGGATTGAATGAAATACAACTGGTGACTCGAATCCAGAACAAAACAGTATGAACTGGGAAGATAACTGAAGCACATCTTTGAATACTTGATCGTCTTTGAAAGTGTCTCTCGCAGTTGTAGACGAAAAGTCATGCATAACAGCCCGCAGACTACGGTCAACAAACCCGGCAAAAAGCTTCGACTCAGGCTATATCATTTTTTGTATCTGTAGTTAGAATTTGACAGTCATTCATTTAAGAATGTTTCACGACGTTACGCTGACACTACTGTCAACGATTTTCAGAAGTGTTAAGGCTAATTTTCATAATCACTTGTGAATCTCAGTTATAAAATTTCAGATGATCATATGAAAAGTTTTCCATGTAGCTATATTTGTAGTTGAGTCGTAAAATGTCCATATGTTAACCCAAGTGACGATTATAACAGCTGTTCCTTGAATATCAAGATGGTGACATTGACCGTATGTTTAACCTTTTTTCATTGTCAGAAAGAAAGTAAGGAACAGCTGATTAGGAAAACATCATTTTCAAGAAGTAAAACTTACTCATTGAGATGTATTATTTCTCAAATGAGGCATCAAGAAACAAACAGATATCATCGAAGATATGATAATGAAATATAAATAACTCACTTAAGTGAATTAAGAACTAACTGATGCGTTAATTTATTCTGACAATTCACAATTTGTCAGAAACGGACACCAATTATAGTTACAAGTTATTAAAACAGAAGAATCTGGAGAACATTCACACAAGGATGTGATCAAATATTTATTTATAAAACAAAGAAACACATGATCCGAAATTAGAATCACTCCAGCACAAATATATGTTTTATTATTGAATTAGGTAATGTCGCTGATACAATATGTACAGGGTCTAAACAAATTTAATTACCCACTGAAATTGGATACAAACAGTATGGTGTTTGTTGATCGATAACGATATTGTAAGGAAGTAGTTAGTTTAAGTGCTTATCCCGACTGTACACTATAAGAACGGTCAAAAACCTCATTGCACGTGCAAATATTCCTATTCGTTGCAATCAGCATAAATGTATTTTATATTACATTTTAATTATATTTCAGTTTTTCCCATTTCTACAAGACCTAAAGAGATGAGGAACGTCCAGGAAGGAATTGACACAGAACGAACAATTGTGATTTTTTTTACCGGAGGATCAACCATAAAAACACAATATTATCCATTGATGACTGTAATGCAGAAAAATTAGTTTCATGTTGCGGAAACGACTTATTTCTTAGTACAGTCATACAAAAACAAGACATTAAAAACTCATCACAACTATCGTTTGCGGATCTTACAAAAACATTTAGAAAAATATACTCAAAATATGTTGTTTCCGTTAACCAGCTATCGCACCCCTACGAACGACAACCCTCAAAAGTCGAAATTTGTGCGAGGTTTCAACGTGTGATTCCTAACACGAATTGGACGATAGCAAGTGAAAATCGATCGTTCAGTCTGAGGCTTAAACGACCGACTCACACAGCGGTCGATTGAACGAGTGAACAAAACACCCACGTCGAACCGGCCGGTTACCGACCTACATCTTTTGGAAATATGGTTTTGGTTATGTTCATTGTTACTATAATTGGATTTTCAATTTGGAAGTGAGGAAGGATGTATGATGTAATTAGAAAGTTTT